ACTACTCGATACTTGGTGGACCCTCGAGAAGGTAGGTGGGAGCCCGAACCTCTGTACCGTTCGTACTGTCCCATTCCAATGCGGGCTTCGGGCGAGTAGCTTCCTCCAGCTCGGTTGCCGCTGCCTGTTGGCTGGCTGGCTGGCTGCCTCTCCAAGACGCGGAGGAGTCGGGGTGAGGGGAAGGAAGGGGGCTGGCCCCAGTGCGCCTGGCGTCGGAGAGGGGACCTACAGGCGCTGGCATTGGAGCAAGCTGTTTCCCCGTGGAGGGGCTCTTTGATCTGGAACTCCCCTCCAAAGCCCACCGTCACTTCACATGTCCCCGCCCACGAGCTCCGCGCCCGTCACCAGGAGCATACAAATATCGAAAAACCGCCGTCCGTCATCGTGGAACACATGTCTTGCTTTCTTTACCTCTCAACCCCTCTTGTCTCTTCCTCCACCTCATCGGTCATCCCCGCGTATCCCCCGCGCTTTACTCAAGCCCTCCCCAAGATACCCCAGCTTGCCTACATATTTCTTCTTCTTCTTCTTCTTCCCTTCTCAACTTCTTTGGTCTCGTCGCGGAACCACTGAATGCTTTCCTCCCTCACCTCTCGAATCAAGCAATCTTTACCAGTCACCATGTCGAAGAACATTGAGTTCGTCGGTGCCATCGACCAGGGCACCACCAGCTCTCGTTTCCTCATCTTCAACCCCAAGGGTGAGGTTGTCGCGACGCACCAGCTCGAGTTCAAGCAGCTGTACCCTCAGCCTGGGTGAGTTTCAGTGGACTACCCCCTCCAACCCGGGCGTCAGAAACCACAATTGTCGGTCGTCGTGGGCCAATGTGCCGAGGCGACCGAGTGGGCGCTGCCCCTCCCCCCACACACCCTTTGCTGACACACGCGAAGTTGGCACGAGCATGACCCTGAGGAGCTCATCTCCTCCGTTGAGACGTGCATTGACGGCGCCGTCAAGGCCTTTGAGACCCAGGGCCACTCCAAGAGCCAGATCAAGGCCGTCGGCATCACCAACCAGCGCGAGACGACCGTCGTCTGGGACAAGAACACGGGCAAGGCCCTCTACAATGCCATTGTCTGGACCGATACCCGTGCCCAGGAGCTCGTCCGCCGTCTCAAGCACCGCCTCGGCGCCGGTGAGCTCACCAAGCGCTGTGGTCTGCCTCTCTCCACATACCCCTCCGTCAGCAAGCTGCTGTGGTTGATCGAGAACGTCAAGGAGGTCAAGGCCGCCTACGATGCCGGCAACCTGGCCTTCGGCACCGTCGACGCCTGGCTCGTCTACAAGCTCAACGGCGGCCCCGCCCGCAACATTCACGTGTCCGATGTCACCAACTCGTCGCGTACCATGTTCATGAACATCGAGACCCGTGCCTACGACGACGAGCTCATTGACTGGTTCCGTGTCGACCGCAACAAGGTCCAGCTGCCCACCATTGTCCGCTCTGCCGACAGCGACGTCTATGGCTCCCTGGCCAGCACCTCGCTCAAGGGCACCAAGATTGCCGGTGTTCTAGGTGACCAGTCCGCTGCCCTCGTCGGTCAGAAGGGCTTCTTCCCCGGCCTCGCCAAGAACACCTACGGCACCGGCTGTTTCCTCCTCTACAACGTTGGCGACAAGCCCGTCATCTCCTCCCACGGCCTCATGACCACGATTGCCTTCGATTTCGGTGACAAGGGCGGTTGCGCTTACGCCCTCGAGGGCAGTATTGCCGTGGCTGGTTCCAGTGTCAAGTTCCTCGTCGACAACCTCGGCTTCATTGAGGAGTCCTCCAAGCTCAGCGCCCTGGCCGAGACGGTCGAGGACAACGGCGGCTGCACCTTCGTCACGGCCTTCAGCGGCCTCTTTGCCCCCTACTGGATCGACGATGCCCGTGGCACCATCTTCGGCATCACCGCCTACACCAAGCGCGGCCACATTGCCCGCGCCACTCTGGAGGCTACCTGTTTCCAGACCAAGGCCATTCTCGACTCCATGGAGAAGGACAGTGGCGCCGCTCTGACCGAGCTTGCCGTCGATGGTGGCATGTGCAACTCGGACCTCATCATGCAGACCCAGTCCGACTTGATCGGCATGCCCGTCAACCGTCCCGCCATGCGCGAGACAACTGCCTTTGGCGCCGCCATCGCTGCCGGTCTCGCCGTCGGTGTGTGGGACTCGTTTGACGACCTCAAGAACACCAACACGGAGGGCCGCACCATCTTCAAGCCTCAGATCAACGACGATGAGTCGGCCAAGCGCTTCAAGAAGTGGGAGAAGGCCGTGCAGATGAGCGCCGGCTGGGCCAATGAGTAAACTATGCCACGCGGGCATACTGGGGGGTTTCAAAGTGGGAAGCTTTTGACGTCATGACGGGAAGGATGGGATCGGTGCAACTTTGTTTTTCTTGTTTATATACCATGGTCGGCGACCAATCTGTTGTATGTATCTAGTGCGTCGTTTGTAGCCCACGAGGTATCTTTGCCGTTGGAGATGTATCGATGGAAATGACAAAAATCTATCTACCTTCCCTTGCCTTACTTTATTTTCGTATCTTATCCCTGCCTACCTTAGGCCCAGATCTAACACAATATCATGTGAGATGCGGCAAGGTTGATGTGCTCATGAAGATCAGAAATCAGGACGCAACATGCTATTGGTCAATGCGATCGCTCGCTGCAGCTCGGGTTTTGCTAAGGCTCAAAACATGCATGCCCAATCATAAAGGGCTTACTCGTGGTTCGTGCCGCACCACCAGGGTGCTGAAGCGGGGTGTGACGATGCAACGTTGTGTCGTGCGTGCCTCGGACTTCCAAGACGGGGTGATTTACAAAAATCGTGATCTTTTCACGGCCGATGTAGCTGGCACAGGCTGCTGCGAAAACGGCAGTCGATGGAGGTGTATAGGCTTCTCCAGAATTGGTTCCATGAGCAAACACGTGCTGTCGGAAATGAGGCCGTTGGTGGGCGGCGGAGCGACAGCTACTATGTACCTAGATATGAGGATGATCCTCGTTGTCAACGCGAGGCGCCGAGGCACGCGCATGCAGGCACATCGAGGCAGACTTAGGTGGGCGCAGCCACGCCGCAGGGGCGACACAGGGGAGAGCAAAACACCGAGAGGATAGCGTGGATACGTACCTGCATCTCAATCCGGAGTCTGCTCGGTGTTGCTGGGGCCACCTTGCGCAACTTCGAAGAGAACGGTGGGGCAGACCAAGCGGCGCCGTGAAGGAACCATCTTGTCTGATGGTCGTCGCCAGGTCTCGGTAGCCTACCTGTACTTGGGTGATGGTGCGTCAGTTGGGTGTAGGCGCTGTACCTGTACATTGTCTCGATTCTCCATTCTTTGACCCCGTTTGTGATGATCCCTTCCCCTCCTTCGTCCATCCCATCCTGCGTCGTAGGTACAGGCACCTTCCCACTTCCCGTCCGCCTACCGCCAACTATGCTCAAACGAAGCCTGCTGCAGTCCCCCTCGACCCTCCATGATAGACAGGCAGTTCACGGCTGATGCCTCTGGTGCACATGCCGTGGGTAATTTAGCTTCTGGCGATTGTCTCATCCAAAGCCTTCTCGAAGAGGGCAGCCATCGCCACTAGTGTCGGGGCAACGGAAGAAACCAGGACCTTGGTATGATGGGAGAAACAACGCGAAGGAAGACAAGAGACCACACAAGTCATTATCAAGCAACATGGAGTCACGTCAGCAACAGCACGGCGAAAAGGAGGAGAAATACTGGGCCAAGCAAACAGGCCATTGGGGCGGTCGGAAAGCCGCCCTCGCTGTCTGTGGTCCGGTGTCAGGGTGTCAGCCCTCCCTGACACCAAACCAGAGCAGGCCAGCCCTCGCCGGCACAGGCTGTAGTCGGGGTTCAAGGCCCGAAATGACTGTCTTCAGGTGCCTAACTCGCCCGGAACCGCCCTGGCACCTGCCCCGGAAAGCCCACGGCCGACTGCAAGAGGCAGAGGCTAACCCCACCGAGGACTGCTGCTCCTCAGGCCCTGTCCGTTAGGGAATGTGTGTGCGCCCTGTAGTGGCCTACCTACCTACCTAGGTTACCTAGGCGCTACCTCACCTCCCTTTGCCTTCCATTACCTCGAGGTACCTACTTTGCCGTTGTTTCTCCACGCCTTCCTTCACCTGCCCTGTGCCTCTGCCGTGCCTTCGTCGCGTCCGCTGTTGTCACGCCAAGGATCAACGTGCAAGCCCCCTTCCCATCTCGTCGGTCACGGGCTGTCGCAACTCCCACCACCGACACCCTGACCAGACCCCATCTTCGAAGGCACAGAGACGCCACCACGCAACTCACTCTCCACCCCCATCCAGATCCATTAGATCCATCATCCATTCTGAGGTCCAGCCTATCTATACTTTACATCGTCGCCTCCTCCCACCCCCCCAGACGCAACTGCAGCAGAGTAAATACCTCCCAAATCTCACTTGTCGCAAAATGTGGAGTTGGTCCCTCCAGTGCACGGGACTACCACGTTAGACATGACTGCACGTCCGGACAGCGTGCCCGAGGAGGAAGCGAACTCGGGCTTCAGTCACGACGAGGGCGAACAAGAGCCCGACGTCCTTGGTGCCTCCAGTGGTGAGGAGTCGGCCCCCAATAACACCTCGGCCGCGACACCGAGGAAGCGGAAGCGGGTCAAGTACCAGAAGACATCGTGGGTTCCATCGTCTTTTACTATCCTTACCATCATCATGGCTTTGCCCCATTCACAGCGTGTCCACTCCGAGCTTGCTCTGGAGGCAGGAGAATACCCAATGACAACAACAAAATGCTGACGGGGCCTTTAGCTGCGAGTTGTGTAAAGCGAGAAAGGTCAAGTGTGATCGCGCCGAGCCTGCCTGCTCCTGGTGTGCCCGTCACAACAGGACATGTGTCTATCTCGAGAGGCAGAAGCCTGGAAGTCGCATCGGCTTCAGCCTCGAGCTCGAGGCCAAGGTGAACCGGATTGATGCCCTTCTGCAAGCCTTGGGCCGACGTGTCGAGGATCACATTGCCGGTGACCATCTTGCCTCCGTCTCATCCGGCCTCTCGCCCGCCATCGGCAACCACGCCTCATCTCAGATCGATGCCTTCCGCCATCCCGACGCCAACGGCAGCGTCATCAGCCCGGCCCCAGGGCTGGCAGGTCAGACGCCATCGTCACAAGGACGCGGGACTGTGTACTCTGAGCCCTTCTGGCAGACCGGCGAAGGCCAGGAGACGGGAAGTGACCGCACATCGGTACAGGCACTTCTGAATTTGTCAGTCAGCGAATCCTTCAACAATCCCTCGGGAATTCCATCACATCCGAAAGAGCCGTCTTCGATCTCTTCAGGCACGGATCTGCCACCTCACGACGTTGTCTACACACTTGTCGACCTCTACTTTAAACACTGCAATACTTGGTGTCCTATCCTCGACCGCAAGACGACTTTCGGTGCCTTCTTTGGTTCGACCTCTCTCACCGAAGCAGACCGAGTGCTGCTCCATGCCATCGTGGCCACGACATTACGATTTTGCAAAGATCCCCGCCTTTCGCCAGAAATGAAGGCCCACTACCACGCCGTGTCCAAGCACACAGTTCAGATTTACGCAATGGAACGAGTCAGCGTCGAAGCACTGCGAGCGCTGGTCATACTCTGTTTGGACGAGCTGGGAACATCAAACGGGCCGCGAGGCTGGAACCTGCTGGCCCTCATCGCGCAGAATGTGAGGCAACTCGACCTCTGTGAAGAGAGCAGCGTCTTCCTGTCCGCTGATGCAGAAGATATGCCGCAGACGGGCTCCATGCGGCGGGTCGTCAACGCACCACCTGACTGTTGGATCGAGGACGAGGGTCGGCGACGACTCTGTTGGATGGTATACCTGCTTGACCGCTACGCCACCATTGCCACGACAACTTTTGACTTCATGCTCGAGGATAGCAAGATGCAGCGTTGCCTGCCTTGTTCCTACGATCTGTTTTCGAGAAACGTTCCCGTGGAAACGCGTTCATGGACCTGGTCGCCCGAACATGGTGCACCTACACACATGGTCAACCGACCAGAAAACCTCGGCAGCTTTTCCTATCACTGCGAGATTCTGCGTATCCTCAGTCGAGTGCACGATTTTCTGAAAGTACCCATCGATGTTACCTCGTCGCCAGAAATGGCTCGGTGGCGGAACAGGTACCGCATCCTCGACCGCGCACTCGACAACTGGCTCCAAAGCCTGCCCAGCGAGTATAGCAAAATCTCAGCCCTCTGTCACTCGGACCCAGCCAGTCGCGTGGCCAACTGGTTCATGTTGCACAGCGCCTTTGTCACATCGGTTGTGCGGCTCCATTCCTCTGCAGCGTATCCGACTATCCGCTCCAACATATTCGTGCCGTCGCATTATGCGATGCAAAGATGTCTCTCAGCTGTGCAGAGTCTTGGCGACATCGCCCAGGATGTGCTTGACGCGAACGGCCTGGATTTGCTCGGCCCACCATTTGCATTCTCGCTGTGGGTGGCGGCCAGACTACTTCTCGTACACGCTGCCACCGTAGAGTGCCCTGTAGACCCGCGCGTCGATTTTTTCATTGAGACGCTCCAACATGTGGGGAGGTACTGGGAAGTAGCTGACAATTACGCCAAAATCCTTGCACGAGTCGTGCAGAGGGGGAGACAGGGCGACATGACATTTACTGCCATGAGGAAGTAAGTCCGCCCAAGGGATCCCGGCCCGGCTGAACATTTGCGGCGGAAGCTAACGATTTGCTTCAGGAGCGCCCATGATTTGGTGACGCTAACGTCCACAACCCGAAGGTCCGGCGCCGAGCCGACCTCGACCCAGGTCACGTCATTGAGCGAATTGGACTACCTGGATGTTTTTGACTTCTTCAACTACCCCAAAGTCGCGCAGCCCGTGATCACAATACCGAACAGCCAGACGAACCTCATACACTCGCAAGCACTGAAGGCGATGGGCGGCGCGGGCGAGAACATCAGAAACAACGGAATGCCAGACCCCGAGTCAGACTGGCTGGGGTTCGCGAGCCCGTTTAGCTGATAGGCAGATTGATACATGTATGGATGATGAAGGCTATGTTGACACTTTTCGTTGGGCGTTGTACGGATATCCTTCCTTTGGAACAAGGCGTTTGGTTGAATGAAACATTTCAAGGTTCACGCGAACCAGGATTTCTACGCATCATCTTAGTTACATTTACACTGCGACAACAAAGGATGCTTGGACCTGCGATTGAGGGCAGGGAAAGGGGCGTATGGGCGGGCTCATCCAATCGCATGCGGCATCCCCGCACGAGCTCTCGAGCTGACGAACAAGACCCCACCTCCGTTGAAGCTCTCCAGTCTTCAGTTGACAGTGCAGACGAGCATTTCGAACTCTTCCCTCCATTGAACGTGTCCTCGTTGCTGTCTTTACGTGTTCTTCCAATCGTTGCAATTGCCACTTCATCATTCTCGGACACTCTTACCCATCATGGCTCCGAATCACGGTTTGGTACACCTTAAGGAATACGACATCAAGGACAGCAATGTCGAGTTGATAGGCACCGATCTCGACCACAAGGTGAAATACAACTCGGCGGCATCTGAACCTGCTTGGCAGGATGGCACAGTTGGACTCGAGCCAGGTCTGTTGATCTGGCGCATCGAGCGCTTCGAGGTCATCCCTTGGCCCAAAGCAAAGTATGGCACCTTCTATGACGGTGACAGCTTCATTGTCCTCCACTCGTACCAACTCGGAGACGACAAAGACGGCCAGCCCAGGCTGGGCCACGAAATCTTCTTCTGGCTCGGTGCTCACACCACGCAGGACGAGGCCGGCACGGCCGCGTACAAGACTGTGGAATTGGATGAGTTTCTGCACGGCGCAGCCACGCAGTACCGCGAGACACAGGCCAACCTGTCAGCCGAGTTTCTCAGGCTGTTCCCCAGAATCAACATCAGGAGGGGTGGCGTCGAGTCTGGCTTCCGCCACGTCGAGAAGGAGGAGCCCGAGGCGATTCTCACTCTGCTGCGCGTCTTCAAGAACCCGGCGTCCGGCAGTGGAATCGTCGTGGTCGAGGTCGAGCCGACCTGGCGCAGCCTCGACGAGCAGGACGTCTTTGTGCTCGACGTGGGCGACAAGATCTGGGTGTGGCAAGGTGGCAAGTGCAGTCCCATGGAGAAGGCCAAGGCGGCGCAGGTGGTCCACGATATGAAGCTGGAGAAGCATGTCGATGCAGAGGTGCTTGCGCAGTCAGACTCGCGGGCGAGGGTTGTCGTCGGTCTTCTTGGCGGCAGCCACGACGCGCCCGTTGACGGTTTCCGATGCCCGAAGCCGCTTGCCTCCACGTCTTCTACGCGTGGGGGCGCTGCGGCCTCGCTCCCGCAAAAGCTGTTCCGCCTCAGCGACGCATCGGGCCAGCTGGCTTTTGATCTCGTCAAGGACGCTTCCGTTCGCTTGTCGGACCTAGACGGCAGTGACGTGTTTTTGTTGGATGACGCCGGCAAGACAATATGGGTCTGGGAGGGGTCCAGAGCGAGCCGGCAAGAGAAGGCAAGCTGGCTCAAGGTGGCGCAGCGTTATATTCAGCATTTGCAAGCGACCGGCAGCGAGGATGCCTACTTGACTCCGATTGCAAAGGTGGCCCAGGGCAATGAGAGCAGGGCTTTTCTACAGGCTGTCCGTGTATAGATGAGACGGGGCTGGCATGGCATGATTGAGAATGCTGCTCTTCAAGATTTGGTCTTCTACAACGAGTGATAACCTTGATTGCTAGACATCATGATCCCTTTTCTGAGCCATGTCAGAAACACAACGTATGGCCTTGGGGTAAGACTGGCTGACCAGCCACATTCATTGGCGGACCCCATTCATGCAATCATAGGCAGCTGTTCAGCTCGACGGTATTCATGGGGTACAGGCAACCTGGCTCACTCGCGCAACTCCTACATGTGCTCAGTAAGTCTTCAAAACCGAGCGAAGTAAACACGAGAGATGCAGATGATGAAACTGGGTTCGTCCGGGTGCCAGTCCCAGACCTCTGTCAACCAATGTACTTCTTCGCGTAACTATCGTGACCTACAGTGCCTGACCTTCCAAGTTTAAGTAGGTCTCGGGTATCAGAAAGATGTAAGTAATCACGAAGGTGTTAACTCTCGGCTCTGAAGAGGCACATCGGCCAGATAATCGTCATATTGTACCTGAGAATTACCTAATGGATACCAATTTTGGCGCGAGGATTAAGGTTGATGAGGCTATCACTCGAGAGTTTAGAAACAACTTTCAACAAGTACCGTGAGTATATACAACATCATTCCCAGTTGCCTACCGGTTTATGAAGATGAGTTGGGGGAGTTGCATGAGCAGAGTATATCACAATGGATGAAGGCGAGAAGAATCTATAAGTCATCGCTCAAGACTTGGAGAAGAGGAGCAGTAAGCGTCCGTACAGACGGATCACGAGTATTGACTAGTTAACTCCCTTGATGCTCTTGACGTATTCGGCGACTTTCCTTACTTCTCAAGATTCACTGCTAGTCTCAATCGAGGTTTTGATCAGAGATGCGCGGACGCGGAAATGTAGTCTGAGAGCCGAGGGAACCCTAGATCACCGGGCTAATCGTTCGGCCCATCTTGCAGGTTGGAACGCATATTGGGTAGCAAATGCGCCATCCATGGCTGCTGAGCCAGTAAATAGCTCATCCCGGAGGATCCCCTGCTAATTCTCATGATAATGGAAAACGCGGCTTTTGACAGAACGCATGGAACAGTGGCAACGGTTTTCCTTCCGATCTGCTGAGAGTCTCCAGGCAGTCTTTTGACCGCGTCTTCGAGGCTCTTTGCCCGAACAGACATTCGATTCACCTACTTATTCTGCAGGATAACGTTAACGGAATGGAAGGTTGTTTCAAAGAGTTCAAGGACCCATTTGATCATTATTTTCAAAATAGCCTCGGCGCAGCAAAATTCATCTCCTATGGGGCGAATACCCTTCATGTCTGGACCACTGCGTAAACTATCGGTCATTTATCGATTTTCTGAGAGACGAGGAGTTTGTCTCTGCTACCACCACCACCGGGCAAAGGTTTACGTTGTGCTTGGGAGCCCCCATTGTATAATTGCATTGATAAGCATGGTAACCGAGTCGATGTGTACTGGTTATACCTGGCGGCTGTGATTTAAGGACAAGGACCTCATTCGTCTGGCACGGCTCCTCAAGAGGCTGGTGCCGCCTGTGCAAGTTCAGCGATGCCATGCATCCCGGGCGGAGACCAATCTTCACCGTGGCTGCTCCCGTTCTCACAAGTCAGACTTGGAAAATGAAGGTATCTCCGACATGGTGCGAGACGTTATAAGTGTTGGTGGTATTCGCCTGGGGCTTCCAGCGGTCACCTGATGCCAGGTGGCCTGTGCCCTGGCACCTCCTATAGCTTAGTTCCAGGCACCCTCCTGCCCTAGAGAATAGCTTCCCAATACACACACCTTTCTTCTAGACCTCCAACAATAAGCAGTCAGCCTCAACGTGCTTTATGCAGGTGGAAGGAGCCGACGCGCGAAACGACACAACTGACGGAGCCGGCCGAACGTGGGGAGACGCAGCGGGGCAATCCATGAGGCGCAGACCCACTGCGAGCTGCCCCGCGATGTTGAGAGCAACGATTGCAGGGGACTGGCCCTGATAAGCAGTGTTCTAACGGCTATGATTCGTCTCGTTCTCTCGACCTCCAATCCATTTCTGGCTTTCACCCATCTTTCTGTTGCTCCCGGGTCACCACAGTCTCGACCGCCTCGAAGCATGTCAAGAATTAGCGTTACTAGAAAGAGCTAGCTGTCCCGTCAGACACTTTTTATCCGATTGCTTAATGCCAATCGGCGCACAAGCAGATCGTAGACCGCCGCAAATGACACCGCCATCCACGGTCGGTCGCTTCCACTGATAAGAGGGGAACATCCCCTTCGCGTGCCGACTCCTGCTTCCGCTTCTCGTCCTCTTCCTCCAACCCTTTGGCCGTGTCTTCTGAAATCGAGAATACCCTTCATTACTATATACTTTTCCCGCAACTCATATTTGATCGACTGCTCCAGCTGAAACACGCCTCGCAACCATGGCGCCTGGCGCTGTATCACCCGAGAGGGACGCAGGCCCTCTCCGTGCCTTGACCACCCACTTCGACGATACGATCCGTTTCTTCCTGAACGGCACGAGGGTGGTTCTGGACGAGATTGATCCTGAAGTGACACTCCTGGAGTACCTTCGAGGCATCGGCCTGACCGGCACGAAGCTGTATGTTCCCGCTGTCCCCGGCGTATGAGGTCGCGAGCTGCGCTAACGAAGCTTGTCCAGAGGATGTGGTGAGGGCGGCTGCGGCGCCTGCACTGTTGTCATCTCACAGTACAACCCTACAACAAAATCCATCTATCATGCGAGCGTCAACGCCTGTTTGGCACCACTCGCCAGCTTGGACGGCAAGCATGTCATCACGATCGAGGGTATCGGCAATACGGAGGCTCCACACCCTGCTCAGGAGCGTGTGGCTAGGAGCAACGGAAGCCAGTGCGGCTTCTGCACACCCGGCATCGTCATGAGCCTATACGCCTTATTGCGGAACAACCAGTCACCGACCGACGACGACATCGAGGAGGCCTTTGACGGTAATCTTTGCAGGTGTACCGGCTACCGGCCGATTCTCGACGCGGCACAGACGTTCAGCAGCTCCAATGCTTGCGGCAAAGCCACTGCCAAGGGCGGCTCGGGATGTTGTATGGAGAAGGGGGATGGTGAGAAGAGCGGCGGCTGCTGCATGGATAAGGCTGCGCTTGATGACCAGCCCATCAAGCGATTCACGCCTCCTGGTTTCATCGAGTACAACCCCGACACCGAGCTCATCTTCCCACCGGCGCTCAAAAAGCACGAAATGCGACCTCTGGCATTCGGCAACAAGCGGAAAACATGGTACCGTCCTGTGACTCTACAGCAGCTATTGGGAGATCAAGAGTGTGTACCCCTCGGCCAAAATCATCGGCGGCAGCACCGAAACCCAGATTGAGATCAAGTTCAAGGCATTGCAGTATCCCCGTGTCGGTATTTGTCGGAGATATCCCCAGAACTACAGCAGTACGACTTTGAAGACGATCACCTCGAGATTGGAGGCAATGTCATCCTCACCGATCTCAAA